ATGTATTTAAGAGCTTTATTTAAATGATCTGGAACTCTGGATATGAATTTTGGCGGCCAAGTCCACGCTCCAGGTGTTTCTTCACACACACGCACACTGCCGACTGCTCACCCTGGTTTCGGGGCTCCTCCACCGGGCGAGGCGCGCTCGGGACTTCCATGTCCTGGTTGTACTCTGCACACCTCAGTGGCTACGCCTTCAGCCAGTCCCTCGCTGGCACACATCTGCCCCAGACCTGGACCTCCCTGGTGGATCCTGAGCTCCTCCAGGCAGGGGTCTAGCTTCGGCCCCTTTGCTCTCTTGTCCTCATCCCTCCAGGTGATGTACCTCTGCCAACGCCAGCCGCTGCAGCTCTTCTCCTTGTGGCATTTCAGTTCCTCCTTCTTCTCATCCCTCTTTGCTCCCCATTTTCTTCCTGAGAAAGTCTCTTCCAGATGACCACTGGCCAAAATTCTCTTACCTTCTCCATACCTATGTCCAGCTCCTAATTCAACCATCAGATCCTAACTTGGTGGCCACTTCCTCAAGGAAGCCCTCCCTGATTTTTCTAAGGACTTCAAGTCACAGAAATCCGGGCTTTCCTAGTATTATCTTTTTCATAATATTTGCCACTCTTGCTATTTTACACATAAGATTTTTGGATCTTTGTTTGTGTCCCCCACTATCTGTAGGCTCCATAGAGGCAGAGACAATGCTTTTTTCTTTTTTTTTTTTCTTCTCTTTTCTCAGCTCTGGGTTCCCAGCTCAGCCATGTACCCGCTGTGTGACCCAGGACAGGAAACCTCAACCTCTCTGTGCTTTAGTTTCCCAATATTTGTAGGGGTAATATAGGGGTTTTATGAAGTTTATATGAAATTGATGAAGTGCTTACAGCAGTTATGAGACACTATGCAAATATTTGCTCGATTAAAATGAGGTGAAAAGAACGTTTGAATAATAATTCATAATGGTGAGTTAATGCCAGCTTTACTCTTTAATTTCCAGAGTTCTGGGTTCTTCCACCCTTTTTGCCTTTGATGTCCAGGTGGGACCTGGTCACAGTCACATCCTCCTGAAATGTAGCTGGTGCTATGGGGGCAGGCGATCTGGAAGTCTTAAGTACCTTGCAGACACCGGGCCCTGTCTTAGTCGGAGTGCCAGGAACGCTCAAAAGTATGCAACCAGGGAGGGTGACTCAAGGCTTTAGAAGGGATGTCCCATTTCAAGAGTTCCCAGACACAACTTTTCAGAGTTTCTGGGAAAAGCAAGATGAGTGGTGCGCACCCAGGGTTTTGTTTTGCAGGGCTCTGTCAAACCTGCAGCCTGGTCTGCTCAGGGTGGGGGGAGCCTGTTGGAGGATGGGACATTTCTGGGGATCTCGGCACAATTAGTGACCCTACGCTTGACTGCCTGCGGGTGGCGAAAACAGAAGCAGAGAAATTATGCAACGGAGCCAGTCACGTAGCCCGGGTGAGGCCGAGCTGGGTCAGGTCTCCGGCCCCAGGCTTCTGTTTAATCTGATGAGATTTGTGGCTGTTCTATTATCCCAGCACGGACTTTGTTTAGTCACAGAAGCTGTTAACATAATTTCAGAGATGTGGTCAGGGACTCCTGGGTCATCTTGTAAAAATGACGTTACCAGGAAATGAAAGTACTCAAAACTCTGGAGAAAGTGTATGTCGGGATCAAGCTGGGGGTATGAGCAGGGAACAGCAAAGTCACAAGAAGGAGGTAAACAACTCAACACATCAAAACAAGAGAACTGTACATAGGCAAAAGGGGAACGGCTGGACTGGGGGCTGCATAGCTTCAGGGTAAGGGTATTCTGCTTCACCTACAGCCTCTAGGATATCTGAGTGTGTATAATGAAGAGAACCTGAGTCCAGAAGATACGATCTGTAACTACATGCTTCCATCTATGTTTGAGGAACTGGTCCTCTAGGAATTCATGCTTTAGAAAAAAACGTTTATGAAGATTCCTTCCCTCAAATTGAAAATGACATGGGTCTTTGACTTTCTACTCTTTCTCTGATCCTTTCTTGGCTCTCATTCAGTGAGATCCAGGTAGTGAAAACAGAATGGGTTTGGGGGCTGCCCAGGCCAACTACTAATGGCACGACTATGAGAAGTTCAGAAATTATTCTCTCTGAGTTCGGTGTCTTCATCCATGAAATGGTCATGGTAATACCTCACAGGGTTGATGTGTGTCTGATGACACGCAGCTAGGTACTGACTGCAACATATCTTGGACTTATGTAAAATGCCAGTTTAAGCTGAGCACCGTGGAACACACCTATAATCCCAGCAGCTAGGGAGACTGAGTCAGGAGGATCACAAGTTTGAAGTCAGTCTCTGCAACTTTGTGAGGCCCTAAGCAACTTGGCGAGATCCTGTCTCAAAATAAAAAATAAAGGGCTGGGGTTATAAGGCACTGGGTTCGATCCCCAGCACCACACACACACACACACACATACACACACACACACACACACACACACACGAAAGAAACCAAACTAAATAAACAAAATAAAGGTATTGTGTTCATTTACAAATAAAGAATATTTAAAAAAATAAAAAGTGCTGGAGATGTAGCTCCGTGTTAAAGTGCCCCTGGGTTCAATCCTTCAACATAAATAAATAAATAAATAAATAAATAAATAAAGAAATAAATAAATAAGCAGTTTAAAATAGGTTTCTCAAAACAGTGTAATGGTGATATACTGTTAGCTGGAGCAAGGAATGAGAATAAAGAGTTTAGAAACAGATCTGTACATGGAGGTGAATTAATTTTTGACAAATTTTTTCAGGATAATTTGATAGGAAAAAGATAGTAAGTTTGGCAAAGAGTCATGGGGCAATTGGAGCTACATATGAAAAAATAATATATATATATACATAAAAGAAAAAACCTTGACTGATACTTTCTATTATACAGCACTGCAATAAAACCAACTTGAAATGCATGAGCAGCTATAAAACTTCTAGAAGGAAAACAGGAGAATGACCTCAGGTCAAACAAAGGTTTCTTAGATAGGATTCACGAAGCACAACCATAACAAATTTCTGATGAATAGGCCTTGATCAGCATTAAGTATTTGCTCTTCAAAAGACCCTGTTAAGGAAATGGAGATGCAGATGAGAGGAGGAGAACGTATTTGCAGGATGGATTAGTCTTTTAGCATTGCGGTCCCTTAACCTGAGGCGCAGTGTGCACGTGGCCCTGTGCTCTCTTCTCCCTCTTCAGCGTCCACACCATTATTTACTGTCACCGTCCTGTCCATAGTGTCATGAAGGAGGTTGCAGAGAAGACAGAGCTAGGTGTCACGAGGTCTCAAGGCCCAAGTCTTAAGTTCCATTCCTGGGAGTGGTGGCCAGAAAGAGAGAGAGGAAAAAAAAAAAAGAGAGGAATGTGCCCATTGGGAAGTGACCAGAAGCCCCTGGAGGCCCCGGAGGTGGTCTCCACAATGACAACAAAACACACCTTCTGCCAGACTGCATGATGCTCTACCTGCTGGTTTCCCTGAACTGGCACCCATGCGGGGAGGCAGTGCCACCGGAGGCAGCGGGCACCACGGTGGTCACCCAGTGGAGTTTCCCGCCTTGACTCCGCCCTGACTCCTGCAGTGGGTTTTTGCTCTTCTGACCTGCTGTCATTTGGACTCCATTTCAGATTTGTCCTCACACACGTCTTCTTTGGTTTTAGTGCCTGGAGACTGTTGGCTCAGGGCTGGGAATTTATTCCCTTGGAAATTTCAGCCTCTGGCTTCCTGGCATCAGGCCTTGCGCTTCCTGCCTTTGAACCTGCTAACCCTTCTCCCCACCTCCTCTCCGCCTCCTGGGAGCTTCCAGTTCATCGTGCTTGACAAACCCTGGTGTCTGCTAATTTCATACATATCTTAAGGCACGTGATCCACAGCCCTGGGCTCTGTGATCAGCAGGCAAACGCTGCAGGCTCCCGTATGGATACAGTGGCCAGTGCTTGGGGTGGATTCGGGTGGGCAAAGCCGAGTCTACCACGGCTGAGGCAGCTGTGGTGCTTTTTAAGGATCCACACGAATGTGAGGGCGTCTTTATCCATGTGAGCCAAGGCCATTGTATGGATGATCTTAGTGCTAGGATTGTGGGCCCTTGATACCTCATTGCTGATGGGGGATTTAAGGGATGAGCAGAGGAGAGTCCAGTGGGAAAGGCAGCAGCCTCGGTCCAGCAACCCCCTCTTTCTACAGGTGGCCTCCTAGTAGGACCAGGCACATAGCCAGGTTTCTAGTGAAAGTTCTAGAGTCCCGGCCGTGTGTGTTCCGATGGGTCAGAGAATGTCGTCATGTGTTCCCTGAGCTTCTACTTAACAACAGCAGGACCACAAGTGATGTTCCCTGTAGAGATGGATGGAAAAGTAATCTGACTGCAATTCACAGACAGCTGGAGGCTGAGGACTCCTTCCACTTGGACTTCAAATGGGAGCCTCTCAGAATGCGCATGCTGGGGAGCAGAGACTGGAGTGAAATCCTCACGCTCTTCGGTGCTTCTAGGTTGATCCCAACAGCCACTTTGCACCATTCACTACCACGGAGCCAAACCTGCTCATAGAACCTTTCACCATAACATCTTTCCACTACACACAGGCTGCTGAAAAGAATCTGGAAGATTTTTCTTAAACAATGATTATAAAAAATAGATTTCATTGCTTGGTAGACAGGTAGAGTCTCTCCAGGTTGCTACAGGACTAACCTGTACCAAATAGATTTCAAGCTTTAAAGGGATTAAGCCAAAAGGAACTTAAAAATTTCACATGGTTTATACAATTCTGCATTCTGAAGCCCTCCCTGCCATGCCTGGCAATTTTATGGATCAAGAATCTGAGGTATAGGAAGTTTAGAGAAGGATTTAATTTGCAGAGAAAGTGGAAGAACTGAAGCTTAAACCCTAGTTTCCTGACTGTAAATCCTGTTCTTATTTCCAACTGTCTCTCATTCAGATTGTGGGATTCGGCTGCCTCAGAAACCTACAGATGACATAATGGTTATTCCCAAGGGGGCATTGAAGCAGGGACTAATTTTGCACGAGGCTGGACTTTGGAGTCCTGGTTCCCATCTAGCACCTTCTTCTCTCCTCCCTCCACTCCTTTTCACGGCCACCTGAAAACTCTGGCTCAGGCAGGGGCAGGAGGAGCAGCTTCTACTTTGTAGCCTTTTTCTTTTCACCAGCTGCGAAGTTCAGGGAGTTGAACTGCTGTGCTGTGAGTTCACTGCTCACTCTGCCGCGGTCAACCTCTGTTGTAAATTTTCCTCCCAGAGCACGTGACGATGCATTTTTGACTATATATCCCGGACTGCAGCAGCCGAGCTGTCAGAGTGCGCGCCGGACGCAAAAGCGGAGCGCTCTTGGACCAGACGATTTAGGAATTCAGAGGAACTGCCAGCCTTGGGTAAGTCACAGTGCTGCTTTGCTTCTTTGAAAGAGGAACGTTCCTAAGTACAAATACACCAAGCTCTTTTCTTTCTGTTTCCTTTGTTTACTCTAAGGAACTTTGCTTTGAATTTTAAAAGTTTAAAAAGTTTTAGAAGCCAAATGCCAGTTTTTGGTTCTGCTCCATGGGTTCAAATATGTGTCCCACTTTTTAACATATTATTTACTTTCTCTACTCTTGCTGGCATAGGGGATTTTTGAAAGAATGAAAGTAATGCCTGCTCCTTTATGAAATGCACAGAAGATGGATATATAGCATAGAAGCGAAAAAGTGAAAGTTCTTCCTTTCCCGCTTGCTCTCCAACCCCTCAGAGCTAAACCCTGTTAACTCTTTGTTGGAACTTCCTATGCTCTTTATCTCATGCATTTATAAACTTTTTGACACTGTGACTCCATAAACCTCGTGCTTGCCCTCCACCACGTTAGGGGGCCTTGGTGGGACAGCTCTAATCTGTGGCTTTCTCCCCAGACCCCGGCTGCGTGAGCCGTGCTTCAATGCTGAAGATGGAGACTCTGAACAGCACACACCCCAGCACCGCAGCCTCCAGCAGCCCCCTGGAGTCCCATGTGCCCAGCAGTGGCAGCGGCAACGGCAATGAATATTTCTACATTCTGGTTGTCATGTCCTTCTATGGTGTTTTCTTGATTGGAATCATGCTGGGTTACATGAAATCCAAGAGGCGAGAGAAGAAGTCCAGCCTCCTGCTGCTGTACAAAGATGAAGAGAGGCTCTGGGGAGAGGCCATGAAGCCGCTGCCCATGGTTTCAGGCCTGAGGTCAGTGCAGGTGCCCATGATGCTGAACATGCTGCAAGAGAGTGTGGCCCCTGCGCTGTCCTGCACCCTCTGCTCCATGGAAGGGGACAGCGTGAGCTCCGAGTCTTCTTCCCCAGATGTGCATCTCACCATCCAGGAGGAGGGGGCAGACGACGAGCTGGAGGAGACTTCAGAGACGCCTCTCAACGAAAGCAGCGAAGGGTCCTCTGAGAACATCCATCAGAATTCCTAGCACCCCCAGGGATCCTGAGGTGGCTCCGCCAGCCAGCAGCAACCTTAGAAAAAGAAGAGACATCGTCAAGTGTCCGGTTTCACTTTTGCAGTGCAGCTGCCACTTTGAAAAGGCCCTCAGATAGCCCCTGAAATAGGGGAGGGTGAGAGGCAAGGCTCAGCTGGAGGTGCCTGCGATTGGGACCTGCCACCTGAGAAGCCCCAAAGACGTGCAGTGTGTTCATTTACTTTGGGGTCTGGGTTTCAGGGTTCCTGTTCAGCCTTTGGTCTGATGATGTGCTTGTCATTTCCTCACTGGATGTCCAGGGTCACTTGCGCAGCATCTGCCTTTTGCTGGGGCTGCTAAATGCCTAGGGCAGGCTGAGGGACTAGTGTTGATTTGCTAATTTGCCTAGAGCTTTGTTCTTCTAGATCTAATTGGCTGTAAGTATCTCTACTATGTACCTGTGGCATTAGTTCACAGAGGGTTACAAGCTGCTTTTGGAGGTCTTTGGATGAGAGGGGAGATTTTAATGAATGATTTTAGATAGGAGAAAGCTGGAGATCTGAGCTCAACCTGTTTGCACAATGTAAGGGAAAAAAGCAACTTTTTAAATCTGTTAACATTAGCTGGGGTTATAAGAGATGATCTGCTATTTTGATCTTTTGTCTCATCTATGACCTTGAACTTGTGCCTGTCCAACATTAGATGCCGGCACGATGCTCTTTTGGTCAGAGAGCCTCCCCAGAATCTATCCTGCACTCTGGCCATGCAGGGGGCTCGTCCTGATCTTTCCAGAAGGAGTGTTGGTGGAGCTGAACCAGGCCAAGCCGTCGTTGGCTCGTTTTCCCAGCCTAGTTTTCTGAGCTGGGAGAGGACATACGACGGGACTCACAATGTGGTATTTCGTCACGTAGCTGAGACCTAAAAGGGCATATTCAGGCAGAGATTGCACAAAGCTGGGGTCCAAGTCTATGGTTGCTGATCCCAAGCCCTGACGCGCATCTGCTGTGTGGTCCTGGGCATGTCTTCAAGAGGCTTGTTGCCTTCACGAGGCTCCTGAGGATGTGCAGCCCCAGGGGGCTGGGAGGATTTCAGGACTCTGTGATAAATGCTCCATGGCCTGGTGTGAGGAAGCTTGGACCAAATATTTCCCCTTTTGCCAGTTAGTCTGAAAAAGGATCTTCTGGTTTAAAGGAGCAGTTGGAGACTCTTGTGTATGTGTAACTGGGGAATTGGGGGCTGACCACCAGCTATCCCTGCTGTCATTTTCCCAGGATTAAACTAAAAAGGCAGATACCACGTTTTCCTCTGCACAGTTCTTTGGATGGTGGGTCGTGAACACTCTCAGCTAAGGAAAAGAGAAGTCTGGAAGGAAATGCTCAGGAATGCTTGTCAGTATGTATTCTTGTGGTCAGTAGCTTTGTAGCAGAATCTCTCAGCCATTGGAGACTACACGAAAACATCACATTTAATTCTAGTAAAAAAAAACTTTATATATATATATATATATATATACACTCTCCCTGGATTGGAGGTACAGTGATAACTACTGTTCCCATGGAAGGGTTAACAGTATAGGAGCTGGTTTATCAGTCTGCCTTGATACAGAACTAGAGGAAATTTGTTGGTGGGAGAAAGGCTCTCTGTTCACTTTAAAACTCAGAGTGTGGATTTACTCCAAAGGGGGCCATTTAAGTTGAAAGAAGCCAAGTTGAGTTTGGCCTCTTGCCTGGAATCACTTGAATTCTGAAACTTCACTGCGACGGACATGTGCCTTGTCACATTTTCCATTGCTTAATCCTGAAGTTTGGTGCAAGTCTATCTGCGCCTGTTAAAAAGTGATGTATATACTTCCTGTTTATTCTATTGAGTTGTATAGAATTGTCTTTTGTATTTAATGGTTTGTAATTTTCACAGTTTTTTTTTAATTTAAATAAACAAACACATTCCCCCCGGAAGTCATATGTGTTTTTCTTTGCTTCTTCAATATAATTTGTAGATTCTCAGACATCACAGAAATGTGCTCCAAGTCATCTCCAAATTTTGCTCATCTTCCAAGTCAGTCTGTCCTAAAGGCATATCTTGTTTCTGCCCGAGCCACGGAGTGAGTGAGGCATGGCTTTTCAGCTTTTGATAAGCTTTGATTTGCTTTGCAATGAAAAGAAAACAGGCTGAGCATGGTCTTCCATCAACTTCTCTGAAGGTGGTGAAGCCTTGGACTTGAATGTGTACTGACTTGGCAAGTGCTGTTAAGACGTTGCTTCAAATCTGGTTGCAAGAAAACATTTGATTTGCATGCTGGCTTGGCAAGTATTATCGACATGTGTGGCCTCAGAAGCACAGGCGAACGTCAGGGTGTTGCTGTGTATACAAACTTAGGAACACAATGGAGTACAAAGTCCACAAGTTGGAGTTGACTCTCTTCCAGTCTCCTCCCTGCTAAGACAGATTTCTCCTTGGGTCTTGCTGTAGCTCTTCCCCACAGGCTGAAGCATGACTAGCCTGCTGCCACCTCTGCTTTATTGATTTTATTAACATAATCAATGCGAAATAAAACTTACCAAGACCTGTGGTTCATTTTCCAATCAAGCAGGTGGTAGAAAGTCCCCTTATTTTTATGTTTCTTAATCCACTGTGAACTTGACTTTTAATTTCAAGTAAAGGGTTCTGTTGGGCTCTCAATAACTGTGTACCTGAAGGGCTCACCTGGAAGTGGTACAAGGGAAATTAGATCCTTCCCAAATCACATCAAAGTTCTCAATCCTCCAGTTGGTACTTTGTCAATGTAAATGAGATTATTTTAAAAGGTAAGAAAACCCTTCAGTTCATCCCAGCTTAATGTCATTCGTGGTCAGGAAATAGTTAAGAAAAACTTTTTCTGACCATGGGCGGAAGAAGAGGGAATTCTAAACTCTAATTGTCCTAAAAATATGCAGAGTACACTCTGTCGTTTTAATGGAATATTTGTTTTCTTAAAAAAAAAAAAAAAAAAAAAAAGAACTTCTAAGGAGAACCTAAGACCCGAGGGGTTTAGTCTGTGTGGATTTACTCATGCATGTGAAAAACTGTGAAGGGAATTCGGACCGTGCACCTAAGACATTAGAAACATATTTTAAAAGCACTTAAATGTCCAGGGGCGAGGTCCCTGGCCTGTCCGGCTTGCTCCATGCTGTTCTAATTACACCTTTGTACGTCAGAGTCAGGCAGGGTTGCTGCAGAGACAAGGATTTCTTTCGTGGACAGAATCATGGGATCAAAACTATCGGGAAGGGCTGAAGCTGTGCCAGGGAATGAGCGCTCTTGGCTCACAGTCCTGGTTGGAAAGTGGACCCCATATTGCATTCAGAGCTGTGATTGGACGGTTTGTGGTCAGACGTGCACTTCCAGGGCTCAGCCAAGGAAAGGTCATTTATCATCCTGCAAAATGCTGTTCTAACCCTAGACAGTGTGGCACAGGCAGAACGCTGAGTTTCAAAATGTCAAATTTAAATTTAAAGTTTAAGAAGGGCATACATTTACCCTAAACTCCGGGCTTTGTGCTGGAGAAAATCAAGGGCATCTCGTGGGTCCAGGGCTTGGAGGGAGACAGGTCAGCCAGGTGTCCCGGATGGTGGTGAAGCTGTGGAGATGAACTAAGGAGGGCAGGCCAAGTGCAAGGGGAGGAAGGTGGGCTCAGCCTTGTTATGTCTGACTTTCTAAGCTGACTCTTCCCCTGTGTGCTTTGCAGCTCTGGGGAAGCTACCCAACTCTGACTTCTCTCTTTCAACACGGATAACACACTGGCCTCCCTCTTTGGGGAGCTGTTCATGAAAAAGAATAGTGAGAGGAGAGACACCGAGTGCCATGTGAAAGTCAAGAAAAAGCAGCGCCAGGCTTCTCCTTTTAAAAATGCTTCCTGGGCATGCATCTGCAAACAAAGCCACAGAGACATCCTCTTCTGTGACAGTTTCCTCAGGAGACTGCACTGTTCAGAGAGAGTACACGATTTGCCAAAGGAGAAGGGTCATAAGAGAGAAAGCACTGTCTAATTCTGCCTTTCCCATTTATGAAATGTTTCCTCCCACACAGGAAGGAACAGTTTGGGATGCAAGCTGTTACCATGGAGACAACCAGCCAAGGCCATTTGATTGCAGGAACCTGGGGCCCACTGCTACTGGATCTCTAGGGCCATTTCATGAAGTTGGGGCTTGGTCCTTGGCTCATTTGATGAGCTGTGAGCCCACTGCAGGCAGAGTCCGGGTGCAGGGGCAGTGTCCCCCTTTTATCCTGCACACTGCTGTTCTTTCTTCCTGCACTCTCCTTGTAGGCGTCAATATAGGGCTGCCCCATTCCAAAACAGGGCTAAGCTCTTGTTCTTCCATCCTTGGAAATATACTTTCCTGCAAAGAAACCCGATCAAAGAATTCTTCTCATCAAGAACTGTGCTCCTTTCCTGTTCTTAATGGGTCCCCATGGCTTGTTTTCTCTTTATTCCCCCTCCCTCCCCTCTTCTCTCACTTTGTTCTATTACCCTGAAATAACAAAAATAATCATAATCACAAGGCACAATACTTATTCGGCACTTATTATAAGCCATGTACATAATTCATTCAACTTTTATAGTAACCCCATGCTTTGAGCTTCTACCCCATTCTAGGCACTTTTCTAGGTGCTGGTGAAAAAATGTAGCACCTGCCAGACCCCCAGTCATGGCATAGACTGCATATGGATGAATCCCATTAAAATTAACTCTGTCTCTGGCCAACTGAGGGCTCTCTGGCTCTAGGACGTAAGCATACATGGCTTTTGTCTTTCAATAGTTAGTGGACACTGTGATGCCATGTGTATATATATATATATATATATATATATATATATATATATATATATATATCTTACCTAATTTTTTTTCTCTGTAATTAGCCACTTTCCTTTTGATTTCCCCTTTAATATTCTCAAGAGAACTGTGAGGCAGTTTATAATACGATAAATATAGGTAAGAGGCTCAAGAAGTGAGTTGCTAGTCAAGTAATGAATGATCTGGATTCAGATGCAGATTTTCTGATATAAGCTCTGATATTCCTTTGACCATGAGGAAGCAGACAGTATGAGACCCGGAATCTAGTCTTGTCTTGGACATTAGGAAACCCTGCGACATTGCATGTGTTGGTCAGTTCCCTAAGAACACTCCCTCATTGGTAAAATGGAGAAAGTACCATTTTTCTACTGCTTTCAAAACATTCCCAAAACCACATATGAAGTAGCTGGAAAAATAGAAAACCTTTGTCTTTGATTGGGGACAGGTTTTAGACATCTTGTTTACCAACATCTTGTTTTCCCCTCTGACTTCATAAAACATTCAATTTCTTAATTGCTGTCCACCTCTTCCTCATACCACCACGGCTCCTGGTCAGTGTGAACCGAGTAGAAATGATATAGGTCACTTCTGAGTTGAGTCAGTGAGAAGATGTGATTCTTTTGGCTACAGTCCTCACCTGCTTGTTACCAATGAGGCTACATATTCCAGATGGTACAAATAACAGGAAGAGCCTGTGGCAGCCTGAAATGGTTAGTTACTTCATGGAACACAATTGCTGTGGAGAGTTGTCCAAACATGTATCTTACTTTACATGAAGAAATAATAAATCTAAGCTGTATAAAGGTGGAGAGTTTGGGTGTTTTGCTACTGTAGAACCTCACCAATCTGCTTAATATAGGCTATGTCTGTATTAGAGAGACACAAAATGCTGGAAGATGTCTTCTGGACAATTTGCCCAATCCCTACATCTGATGGCAGGGAAATAAAAGTTTACAGAAGTTACCTGACTTGTCTTGACCACAGATATCTCTTCCAAGGCTCATTGAAGATTGAGGACCTCTACCGTGTTCTCTTTTAAAAAAAAATTTTTTTTAAGTTGTAGATGGACACAATACCTTAATTTTATTTATTTATTTATTTATTTATTTATTTATTGTGGTTCTGAGTGTCAGATTCAGGGCCTCACACATGCTAGGTAAGTGCTCTACCACTGAGTGACAACCCCAGCCCCTACTGTGTTCTCTTTTAAGCCTGCACTTTAAATCTGCTCCGAGCAGGACTGAGTCACTGGTACTACCCTCTTTACTGTCCCAGGAGCCTTTCTGGGAATTAGCTTCTTTTCCCCTGGTCAAATTGGACACTTACTGCCCTTGTTGTGGGATGGATCTGAGTGGGTAAGAGTCAACACATTTCCCAAAGCCATGCCCTGAGACACACCGGGATTTTGAATAAAGGTGGAGAAGCTATATAGGAGGAGGGAAATATTCAAACAGGATTTGACATAATTGTCTGCACAAAGCTTACTCTCTTTTAGCTTCCTTCCTTTTTCTCTCCCTCTCTCCTTC